GAACTTCTGCTGGTGCCTGCTGCATTGCACTCCTGTGTCCATTGCACCCCCAGATGCACTCTTCTTCCTGAGGATTCTGCGGGGCTCTTCCAGAAGCCTAGCTGGTGCATTTTCATTTGTGTGCTTGTCCTTTTATTATTTCACATGAAAGCCGTCTCTTGGCACATGACTCCTGAGATTTAGTTGAGCTTTCTGAGGCTGTGCGAGGGAGGGGAAATACAGGTGGGGCTTTTTGTACCCATGGGTGTAGGGGTAGAGGACAAATCTGCAAGCAGTCCTGGCTTGTGTGGAGCCGACACAATGGCAAACAAATGGTGTTTGAAGAAAGGAATCAATGTGTGCCATATCTTAATTTGGAATGTTTCACAACCTTTTTTGTTCAGTTGATGGAGATGGGACTTTTTTAAGAGTAGATTCTTCATTAAGAAGACTGTAAACAAGTCCTGGATAAAGGAAGGTACAAGCTCAGGAGATAGTCTATTTGCCTCTCCCCTTCAGCCTCCAGTGCAGCCTAATCATGGTATTTGAGGTTTTAAAACAAGGTATGGAAAATAAGATTAGATAAATCTCCCTAGCTGGTGCCAGCCCTGGAGCCATTTGCACACCTGGGTGGTTACCTTTCTCTCTCTCCCCCTATTTTATTATGTCATGTGCTTGTACACATATCTACAAGAGGAGACAATACCTTTGAATCTTTACCTTACAGAGGTTCAGGCTTTTTCATTCTCTTGAAAACCCATCCATGACAACTGTTAGTTTGTTCACTGCATAACCAACCCCAGTCAGAAATGGAAAATTGCGAGTGCCATTCTTGGTTTTTCCTGGCATTCTCAGAACTTCTTGATTTGTTTGTAAGCTGGTCAGCATTTCAGCTGAAGGGTCTTCTTTGATCACTGTCCTGACAACACGGACTCACATTCTCACACCTGTCTTCCCTTATAGTCAGGATTTCAGAGTAAATGCTTCCATTGCCTTGTCCTTTTTTTTCAGCATAAAACTTTGGTGCAAGTTACTTATTACAAGTAATAGTCGTTTGATGACGGAGACAACTGTTTGGCAGAAATGGCTGCCTGAACTGCTGCCAGCAATGTAAACTGCCACTTTATTTCTGAAAGCATCGAAGCTGCAGGCCTATCGGTCATGATCTGGCATGCACATGATAATAACAGGCTTGCCAGGCTGAGAAAGCACCCACGAGGCAGCCGCGAGGGGCAGGCTCTGACATGACTCCTTGTGTTTTCTCCCCTCTTATCCACAGCCCACACATCATCTTCCTCTCACAGAGCACTTTGACAGGAGTGAGCCATCTCTGTGGCACTCGTCTCTGCCATGAAATCGCCCATGCCTGGTTTGGCCTAGCCATTGGGGCCCGCGACTGGACCGAAGAGTGGCTGAGTGAAGGGTTTGCCACTCACCTGGAGGACATGTTCTGGGCTGAAGCACAGCAGGTTGGTTTAACATGACCATAAGCACCTAATCACCCAGAGTCAAATTTGATTTCTAGTCACTCATTCACCCAACATATATGGACAGAGTGCTTATTCCTCAGAGAGCTGCATAGCCAAGGAAGGAATGTCTCTGCTCCCCAGGGGTTCACAGTCTAATGATAGAAGAGAAAATAGACAAGTGATTATCTCTTTAACCTTATCACTTAGTGGGGAGTACTCTGAAGCAGAATAAGGCCAAATAGAAAGTGGGGGGGGGCATTTTTTTAGCAGGCGTAAGAAAAGACCTCTATGATAAAGAGACCATTGATTGAAAACTTCAAGCAAAGATCATGCATGGCATACTCAAGCACTTCTATGTGGTTGTGGTTTTGATGATGTTAACTCTGTGTGTGTGTATCTTTAAAAATAAATTTAAAATTTAAATTAAAGTTCATAATGTCAGATGTCTGCTGGCAAGGCGTGAATAGAGAAAGAAACTTTTGGTATTATATCTTAGGGAATGGTGGGGACTGTGGCAAACTCTCAGCTGCTTCTGAGTTCTGATCATGTAGAAGAGAGGATTCAAAATAACCTGGACTAGTTTTTGTTTTTGTTTTTAAGAATGATTTATTTATGCATACAGAGCTAGGGTACAGGCCAGAGGTACAGGGGTGGTGAAAGGATTCACCAGAGACAGAGTGGAAAGCAGAACAGGCAGATTGACAAAGTACACTGCTGAGGGGAGCAGGGGGCAAGACAGGAGAGGTCTGCCACGCCATGTGGTTCACCTTTGGGGCCCGGAATCAAACTCGCACTGAAGCGGCTGTGGCTCGCTTGCAATCCTGTGTCCTAACCCATTTTGCCACCAGGTAGGGCCCCTTTTTCTAGTTTTCTTTTTTTTTTTAAGATTTATTTATTTGTGCATACGGAACTGGGGTACAGGCCAGAGGCTCAGGGGCGGCGTGAGGCTTCACCAGAGACAGAGTGAGGAGCAGAACAGGCAGATCGATGAAGTACACTGCTGAGGGGAGCAGCGGGCGGGTCAGGAGAGGTCTGCCACGCCATGTGGTCACCTCCTGGGCAGGCGGGTATTGAACTCATGCGGAGGCGGCTTTAGATTCTTAGTGCTGTGCTTTAACCCGCTGCACCACCAGGGAGGGCCGCTTTTTCTAGTTTTTTAAGGGAAGTTCTAAAATTGGAATTTTATGTAAAATTTCTTAATTTAAAAGGTATTATACAAACCAAGCATAACCAAAGACCAGATCTGGTAAACACGCTACCAGTTTACAACCTCTAAACAACTTGTTACCAATTCTACTGAGAGTTAGTAGCTAAACTACTTTCTACATATTTTCCAGTCCATAATATTTGGTTACATCCACACCACCACCACCACCCCCTTTCACATGGGATTATTTGACATTGTTTGAACGTTCCCGTATTGTGAATACCTGTATCTCCCTCTCCTGATACTCTGCTCGTCTAGAAACTTACACTCCCACACTATCACTTACAACTTTTTTTTCCTGACATTTTTCTTCTTTCTTCTGTCCTCACAACTAGGCTATGTCCTCTTTCAAAGTGGATCTGTGTCTTACTCATCCTCTCTCCCCTTAACACTTGGCTGTCAAACTAGCAGTGTGCACATCTGTGTGCCCTGCTACACAGAGTCCCATGGAAGTGAGCCACAAGGCAGATTCATAAGTGTCTGGATTCAGGGTTAGATCAAGCTTGGAATCTCAGCTTTATGAGTATAAGTAAATTACGTATGTTTCAAGAACCCTAGTTCCTCATTTATAAAATGAGTATAAAAATACTTAATCTTGCAAGGTGAACAGGAGAACATGTGAATGAGTTTAGCATGGCATCTGATACTATGGAGGATGTGACAGAAGCACTGATTTCCTGTGCTGTTTCTCTTTCTATTTGCCACTACCTTGCCCATAGTAGGCATTCAGCAAGAGCTAAATAGGTTTAGTAAATGTGCCTCTATTACCATCCCTTCCCTGGAGTGCTTCCATCCTGAGACAATGAAATGCATGCTATTTTTAGCAATCATGAGTACATTTTAAAAGGTTTTTATTTATTTATGCATATAAGAACCGGGCTTCAGCCAAAGATGCAGAGGGGGAGAGGATTAACCAGATACAGAGTGGAGAGCAGAATAGGCAGATTTACTGAAATAAACTGCTGAGGGGAGCAGCGGATGGGACAGGCAAGTTCTTCTTGTGCCATGTAGGTCAGCTTCCTGGCCAGGGATTGAACTCAGGCCAAAGTGGTGATAACACTGAGGCAACTCCTAGGCCACTATGTAGGCCCCATGAGTACATTTAATCTTCTGATGGATGATCCTCTCTCCTTTATTTCCAGAACGCCTCGCTTTTACCCTTCCAGTGGGTCAATCCTAAAGTACTTTGATTGGGGGTGGGGCCCTACTTCTCCCCTAAACATAGCCATTTCCACTGATTGGAAGCACAGAGTCAACCTGGCTGCACCTCCCTGACACATGCCTCTTGGGGGTCCCTTCTGTGCTAGGTCTGTAGAGATAAAAAGATAAAGAAGACATGACCGAATGAGGCCACAGTCTCATTGTGAAGATAAGAAAAGCACACAATGGAAGGAAATATGATACAAAAGAGAGGTGAATAGCAAATATTATGGGAGTTCAAAAGTGCCAGAAGCTAGGTTTGAGTAGGTCCAGAAAGGCTTCTTGAAGGTGGTGACTCTCTAAGGTGAGTCTCAAAGGGAAAGTAGGAGATGACGTTTTTCTATTCCTTCTTTCCCCTGAACAATTCATCATCCAACCCTTCAAGGTTCATACAATAATGTTTCAATATGTGAAAACACAGATGCCCCTGAGGCAAAGTAGCCAATCTAGATTCCAATACAAAACGCTTCCAGAGCACATCCGCCACCCTGACCCCTTCTCTGATAGATGAGACTGAGCTGCCGCTAGTCCCTAATATGTGCGCATTTTCCACTTTCCCAATAAGAGAGGAGCATCCTTCAAAGCAGGGAAGGGTTTGTCACTGTGGGATTCTCCTGGTCCCCAGTGAAGAGGGCATGAAGATATCTGTCCCTATTTGGCCAGGGAGGTAGCACAAGCATTAACAAGCATAGCAGAGTCTAGGAAATGGAAAATCATTGAGCAAGGAGCTAGAAGCTGGCATTCTACTCAAGGATGTATTCTGTAGGGTGAAGCAAATTGAGTTCATTGCAAGATTGAATCCTATAACTTGTCATCAACTGCACAAAATCTAAACTACTTCATGGGTGTCTTTATTAGCTGGGCTTTCCTTCATAAGATACCTTAGATGAGGAAACTTAACCGAAAATTGTTTTCTCATTGTTCTAGAGGGAAAGAAATCCAAGATCAAGGTGCAGACTTGGTTTCCTGTTGTCTTCCCTGGCTCGGTTACCTCACTTTGTGTCCCGCTCTAGTGTCTTTTCCTGCACTTAAAAGGCACCAGTTGGATTAGGGCCCCACCCTTATGATTTTATTTAACCTAATTTCTTCTTCAAGCCCCATCTTTAAACATGGTCACATTGGATGTTAAGCCTTTAATATGTGAATTTGATGAGTGAGTGAGAGAGACACAATTCAGGCCATAACAACATGCCACTCAAAGTCTATTGATTCTCTGACCTCTGCTAGTTAATTGGCACCTCCATCCATGTCAGGATTGCAGGGTAGGGACTTGGTCCATATATGCCCAGAGCCTAGCAGAGACTCGGTAAATGTCAGCTAAATAAACTATTAGGGAGCTGTAATTTCCAGAAGTGCCATAGACAATGACATTTTCCTTCCCAGTGAAATTCTGCTGGTCTTCCTTGTGAATGTTATAGCTGTAGGTCCTGGTGAGCATTCAGAATGACAGTAGCTGATTCTGAGCACAGGGCAGAATGCAATGGCATTCCCCTCCCCCAGAGTGATCCAGGCAGTTCACTCTTTCTCGTTATATGCAAACAGAATCATCTGGGTTGCATTAGCAGGCTTCACTGTAAACAGCCCTTAACAAAACTGTGGGCTGGGAAAAATAGGAGGTAGGTAGAGGGGACCTTTCCCGCCCAGTTCAGAAACAGCATGAAAGGCCTGGAAGAAATGAGTGGAAATGGTCCCCTAGGGATGCCTGCTCTTGTCTAGGCCAGGGGAGGGGAGGGATATTTTCAGGACTAGGGGTTGCCTCCCAAATAGGCAACCTAAGAACGAAGGCCTGATTCTAGAAGACCCCTTTGACATTCTGACTCTTCTATTGGGGCGGGGGGAGGTAAAAGTTGCAGTAGGGAGATTATCTGGGCCACCTTCAGACAAGTTAGCCGCTGCCCCACAGGGAAGCTGTACAGGGCAGCTCGGACTCTGCAGGACAATGACTGTGTTTCTCACACATGTGTTTGTTTATCTGTGCCCCAGCAGCTTGACCCCCATGAGGCACAGGAACAGCAGGAGCTGAGGGCCTGTCTGAGGTGGAGACGTCTCCAGGATGAGGTGCAGGACTCTGCAGACGAGCTGCAGGTGTTGAGGTAAAACACCACTTGATTCCTTTCCCTTTCTGTCCTCTCCCTCCCACTCCTTCCCTTCAAGACACATCTAGGCCATCCATTAAATCTGCTGTGTTTTCCTTTTTAAATTGCTTTAGGATAGGTTACTCATCATCCTAGGGAAATGACTGTAATGCTTTAAGTCTTTCAGGGTGTGGGTTTGGATTTGCCTTTAAAACATTTTTCTGTTGTCTCTATTTGGGGGGACAAAATGGGTACAAAGCATTTCCGGGACCAAATTCTTTGTTTGAAGTTGTAATAGTCAGTTTATGTGGTAGCTGGGGACTTGGAGAAGGGTGGGGTTTGGTAGCCTGACAGACAGTAACCCTTTCAAGCCAAAAGGATGGGAAAGCCCTTTACAAAAATATTGATTTCGAAGTGTTTAGTAGTAACAGATGTTTGTGTCAATGGGACCTTTTGTTTAGGATGGTCCCGTACTGTGCCACTCCTGTGCTATGGGAGGATTTTGCACCCAGCTTCTGCATTTTGTTGTCAGTGTGTCTTATAGCACTTGTAGGATTATTTCTTGCCATTTTCCCATGTTTGTCCTTTTCTGCTTTGCTCCATTTTCTTCCCTTCTCTAAATAGTTGTTTATCTGAAACCTTGAGCCTAGGCCCCAGGAGCACTCTGGTTGCTATGGCAACAGAGGCTTTCATCCTGCCCCCTCTTGACTAAAGCTAAGTGTTTGGAATCCACAATCAGACAGGTGGGTAGTTGCTATCCAGGAATTACCCCCTCATCCAATTTTAGATGGGAACTCTGAAGACCAGTCTACCTGCTGGGCAGAAACCTGCCTGGACTTGTCCTGATTTATTGTTTTTAAATAAACACCCCAATTCCCCAGTGACTGTCCACTGAGGCAGAGGTCTGGTGGAAATACCAAGCCCAGCCTGACTCCAGGAAGACTGGTTAGTGCTTTTGTGCAGCCCTGGAGCACGGGGTGTGGCTGCTCTTCCCACAGAGAAGTCTCAGCTCGCACGCTAGCCCATCCGCTCTGACTCATCCATTGTTTAGGAGAGGCAGAACCAGGCACCGAGCTTTCCCCACCTAGCGCCACTGTTGACCGTCTGTTCTTGCAGCCAGTGGGAAGACTGTGCTTACCACCAAATGGACAGGGTCCCATGTCCATGCTTTCATGAAACTGCCACATAGTGGGGATCCTGTTGCATATGCAGTACTGACAGGGCACAAAGGAAACACCAGCATTTATAGGAAGTTAAGAAGGCAGGAAAGGGCTTTTCTGGCTGTGCGCCAGGGACAGAAAGGAAGGCGTTGTAGCTGGAATGACAAGAAGCATCAGAAGCCATGTCATCCAGCTCTGCTCCACATGCAGACAGTAAACAAAAAGCAAGAAGAGTAAGAGTGTTGCCATAGTCCGTTTAGAGGTCCTGGGGTCAGTGACAGATGAAAGAAGCAACCTATCCGAGAAGTGTTTTGATGGTGAAATTGGAAGGTCTTTGGTTCGTTGCTTGTGGAAAAGAGGAGTGTCCAGAAAAATTAGGCTTTGACTTCAGCAGCTGGATAGATGGTGAAGTTATTTTGGCCTCTTTGGGAAAAAAAAAAAATGTGAAAGGAAATTGCTTTAGGGGAAAAAATAAAGATTCTGGTTTTGCATGTGTTTGTTTGATATGCCAAATAGGTATTCAGAATTGAGAACTCAATGAGGTGTACAGGTCAAAGGCTCACTGAGAGATTGGAAGGATCAACTTATAAGCATTTATAGCTCTGAACAAACTGAAATCACAGGGGCAGGTGAAAGCAACAGAGGAGGTTAGAGGTGAGAACCCAACAGCAGAGAAGCTGGGGAAATCAATGCAGAGAAAGCCCAGACACCAGGGGTCATGGAGGCCATGAATGAATCAAGAAGGTGTAAGTGGGATGTGGGATGCAGCTGAGGGGTGTAAAAAGGGGTCTTTGGAATGGGCCATGTGAACTGTGTTGGTGACCTTGACATGCACACATTTGTTCCTCTCTGGAGGAGAAGGAAACCAGATTGAATTGGAGTGAAGCATGAACAGGAGGCCAAGTGAGGACATGATGAGAGAAGGGCTAGGATGACAAGCAGATGAGGATCAGAGAGTTTTTTTTAAGGTGGCTGATACAGGAGTGTACCTTTGTGTGAGAGTATAACTGTGTTAATCTTGTTACTGGGAAGACTTGGTTTCTCCATTCTTCACTTCCCCGTAAGTCCTAGCAATACCTCCAGCCTGTGTGATGGTAACCCTTCTGTGGAGGTCAGAGCATCATAAATAACATGGACTGATGGAATATCACATACTAGGCAGTCCATACTCACAGTGTAGAGTGACTCTGGCTTGTGGCCATCCTGGCTTCTCCAGGTCAGGAGCTTTTCGTTTGTGTGGGAGCTGGGAGAAGGAGCACACTATTTTTAGGTCCTAGTGCTAGAAGGCTTATTATGGTATTAGCTTTTCTTTGTCTTAGTATTCAGAAATTGTGTTTGCCTAAATTTAGGCTAACCATGATATGACTGCATTTGGAAGATTTGTTACACTTTGGTATGGAAAATATTTTTATCAGATCCACTTACAATGAAGAGGAAATGTTTCTAAACCTACTCTTAGTTAATATAGTCTAGGTTTAATTTACTCCCATATCTTAGTATTCTCCCTTAAATGGGCACAGAGAAATTACTGAAAGTGCAAGGAAAAGCCAGAGTTTTCAAAAATTGTTTTGTATTAATATGCAAATAAAACCTTAAGAAAGAAGTGTCTTTAAACAATATAGTAATCAAAGATGTCCTTTTCTCTCTTCCTTTCTTCCAATATAACACATTGTCTTCAAAGTTGGACTAAGGACAATTTATTTATTATTGAAGTATAGTTGATATACAACATTATTTTAGTTACAAGTTTCTAATAAAATGATTTGATATTTGGACACATTGCAAAATGACTATTGCAATAAGTCTAATTACCATCTTTCCTTAGCACCTTTCAAATTTGCAATACCATATTATTGATTTTATCCCTACTACTTTATATCCTTCACTTATTTTGTAACTGCAAGTTTGTAATTTTTGATGCCCTTTACCCATTTTGCCCACGTTCCAACATTCCTGCACCCTTCTGGTAGCCACCAATCTGTATTCTATCTCTTATGGTTTTATTTTTATTTTGTTGTTTTTGTTTCTGTTTTAGATTACACATATTAAGTGAAATCTTAAGGTATTTTTCTCTCTCTGACTTATTTAGTTATGAGTGGTAAGATTTCACTCTTGGCTGAGCAGTAGCTGGGTGTGTGTTTTCTTTATCACTTCATCAATAGACACATAGGTTATTGTCATACCTAAGCGTAGGGAGTGCATGTATCTTTTTAAATTAGTGGTTTTGTTTTCTTTGCAAAAATTCCCATAAGTACAATTGTTGTATTATGTGGTAGTGTTTTATTTTGTTTGTTTGTTTATTTGTTTTTTAAAGATTTATTTATTTGTGCATACAGAATGGGGTACAGGCCAGAGGCTCCGGGGCGGCAAGAGGCTTCAGCAGAGACAGAGTGGGGAGCAGAACAGGCAGATCGACAAAGTACAC